GTAAAATTTAAACTTCACGCGCCGGTTTTCACAGTCGTCAGACCTTAACCAAAGCTAGAGTAGAAAGGTGTAGGCTTTTTTTTTCTTGTATGAAGAACGTTTCAATCAAAATACGCATTCCATTGTGTCGCCGGTGTCTCTTGTGTCCTCAGCCGCTGTTCAGTTCTTTCGCAGCCGGCGAAACCCATCGGCATTTGATTATTTTCATATTCGGTGCACGTACGTGTGAGTTGTCGGCAACGCGCGACGATGATTGAAGGCTATAAATACGTCAATCTGATGGTTGCTATAATGTGTGTGTGTGTGTGGGCCTACAGTTGCTCAACCCTAGCATAAGCATGGGCCACATACGCGCACTTGTGCTTCTCGAGTGGAACACGTGAAAGCGTTTCGCTAATAATCTAAAAAGCTTCTTTCAATAACGTTTTAAAAATAAAATCATACACAAACAAAAATATCACGATGGCGTAACCGCCATCTTGGAATTCTTTTCCGGTGTCGTCAGTCTTGCATATTATTTTCGTACCACTGGATGATATTATCGAGTTAATTCATGTCACGAATTGAAGTGAAGTTAACAACTTGTAAAGTGAAGTCGTGTCGGCATGATGGTGGTTTTTTTTATTACATAAAAAAAAATATTTTTGATGTCTCCGCCCGACAAAATGAACTACGACACACTTCAAAAGTTTGAAAAAATGCGGGAAGCACATCATTCCTCGATGGTAGTTAACACGTAGCACTTACGTGCCGTCAATACTGAATCGACGACGTGTTTCTAAAAAAGGCATACAAAAAAATTTTGATGTGTTCGCAATCAATTAGGGTATGTAATCGCTTGATAGTTTTTTAAAATGCCCCTCGCCAATCAATTTAATGGCCGTACTCTTGCAATGCATAAAACATTTTTTTAATGCGTTTCTATGTTTGTTTTTTGTATTCCAACACATCTGCTGTTTTATTTTCGTAGAGGTGCTTGGAAAAATAAATATGGAGGAAATTCTTCGTGATGTCGGCACGCAGACGAGGGGAAACGTTTGTCAGCAGCTTCGGGGGTAGCCGATGGCTCCTTCAATACCCAATTATAACGAATTGACGTACGGGCATGAATCACGCAATGATAGTTATAGTGTTACAGACGGCTGAATGCAATGTCATTATAGGATGCAACAAAAAAGTTTCCTGTCTCAGAGACTACTTATATTAATACGCATCATGTTAATTTACACGTAGGTACAATCTACGAGTTGATAAAAGTATGATTTTTCGATTTACTATAAAATGCATAAATCATTTTGACACTTAAACATGTAGAACAAATTTAGCGATTACGATGCAGTGAACGGTTCTTTTTTGGACTGTTACTCCCTTAAAGCAATTCGTGCAACAACTGAGTAATGCATGTCAGACACTAACGGTGGACGTTAACATGCTCAACATTCTTGAGGCGGGCGTTTTCCGACAAGGTGCAATTAAGTGCAATGTGCCAAGTATTTGCGTAAAATCAATATTTTATGCATTTTGCCATGACAACATTGCAATCAAACACGTGATAAAAATATTTTAACTGAACAAACTATATTCTTTCTGCGAAATTAATATTCAAAGTCAAATTAAGGGCACAAACAAAACGCCGACAATGACATCACTGTGTAAATCCTCAAAGGCATTTATAACTTGTGAGTCATGTGCAAAAGGAAGAGCACGGAACGTGAAATATAATACGTGGCGTTGTGGTTACAATAATGAAGTTTCCTTACTTATAATTTGCTGAACATTCATTGAGCATGCGTGCTTCCGTTTCATATATATATTTTTTGTAATTTAATAATTGAATTAATCATGAAAAGCAAAAAGAAACAGACATTATTTATACACCTCTAGCATAAATCTGAGGCCTCCATGTTTGTTTTGGGTATCTAACTGCTTTGCATTAAAAATTGTTCTGTTTATAATGCGAGACGTTGACAAATATTTGATGAAACCAAATTTAAATTTTTAATTCTCTCAGCGTCATCACACTCTTCCATTGTGTATTTTCATGAAACACAATCTGTAGGCTTGCTGTACAGTATGTACATGTTTTATTGCCACAGTTTATAACGTTTAATTGTATTATTACTCAGTTTTATAACCAACATTAGTGTTCAGTGTGAAGAGTTGGATTTAAATTCTCTTGACATTTGTGTTGACTTTCCAGCCAACATTTTATACATTAAAATATTTAATTATTCAACGAAGAATTCAGGTGAAGTTGAAGGTGAAGTTCCAGTTCCATGTGGATGCAAAAAGGTTGTGGGATGACGGCATACAGTACAACTTGATCGCGAACATAAAAAATGCAAATGTGTATCCAGCGAATGTCTCGGCGAGCTTTGCGACGCGCGGGGGCACACGATTGCAAGAACCAGTCGCGTTTTATATGATCTTCAGCGCTAGAGGAAACAGCGAAGAAATATTTTCAACTCGCCCATATTAAAGTCAAGCAAACGTGTTGTGTTCGTTTGGTTGCTGTAATCTAGACGCATTCAAATATTAACCTAGTATTAAGATCACAAAGATCATTCTCAAGTTGGGTTGCCTATAATGGGTTTATTCTGCATAAGGTAATGCTATTTGAATATTTTGTGGGATTGTTGTGAACTGCTGATTGCAACTGCAACTACAACTGCACCGGCACTGAAATCAGCGGCTGGCTGTGCAGAGAGCAAGAGCATGCTTCGGAACAGGTTTCATTTATTCGACCACACTTGATACTCTTGTATCCGTGTACTCCTGTGTCGAGTGAGGTTATGAGTATGAGTATGTGAGCATACGGTTGGCGAAGCGGTGTAAATTGCACGTCGTGTGCTTAAAATTCACGCACGCTTATGAATTTCCAAAGGAGAGTATAAGCAAACACGATTTCGGTAGGTGCAATGAATTAATTTGTTTGTTAACACACCGTTTGATTTATTCATGGTTTTCATTCAAGAAAAAAGTTGCCTGGGCGTTTCTATTCGCCATTTTATTGACTAGACATAATAAATCGGAGAATTTCTGAAATATTCGAAGGATATAAACTGCAATCTAGTTTCTCGTTCAATCAGATTCCACTATTGGCTGAACGTTGACCTTAATGACTCTGCATGCCACTTCAAACGAGGTATTCAATCATAAAACAATGCGTAAACAAAGCGCAAAATGATATAACATGTACCTACCGTTCCATAATCGAAATAATGGTCATTCACAACCGTAAATAATTTCATTCCCGTGCTATTCCGTATTTTCTAATAAGGAATTACTCAATAACCGGGTTAAAGTTGACTTAAAGTTGATTATTACTACTTAATTCGGAGTAGAAATATTGATGAATCTCATCGTAATGACACACTTTAAAAGATTTCACTCCGCCCAGTATCATAACACATATTTGTTGATTATGATTGTGATTGGGAATCGCAAGCGTTTGCTTTTTTACGATCGGTATACTAATACTAGTACGCGCTTTCAAGTCGTTACAAATATGGTGAAAGTTGAATGTCCCTTTAATGTTGCGCAAGCCGTAATAATAACGTTTACGATAGAGACGCCGCGTCTAGCTCGGTTGAAACCACGCACAAGTCGTCATCATGGCTGCCGATGTCGCCTGCTGCTTCCTTTCCAGCCTAAGGCAGTTTCTGCAGTCCAACGAGCTCATGAAACCTTCTATGCTATTCGTGTCTAAATGAACTTGATTTCCTCGTACGCGTACATGTATTCTGTCAGCCATTATCCAAGGTTTGATCGGGAATGGCGTAATCGTTGTAGTAACCTGTGCGGTTTTGCACATTGCGGCTGTTTTTGTTTGGTCATTGTAAACATTGTACGCAGTTGGCTAGACAAATACAGAAACTTTCAACTACTGTCTATGCCGCCGACGTATGATAGGACATCGAAGTCTTACACGCTGGACATTTGTGGAATCATCTCTGTTTGTTTAATAAGATAAAAGCTTGTACTGTAGACAGACGTCTTGAAATTGAGTAAATATAAGATTCGTAGACGATGAGTTTTATTAAATGAATGAAAATAATGTTATATCAGTGATTTGATACAAGAAAGTAGGTTTTATTGATTTGTTTACAACAAATAATTAACATAAACAACTAAAAATAGGAAACAGTAATTTATTGTTATTTAATACTCGAAAATGTGTAATTAATGTTAATGTGTCGTTAAAATGTCGATAGTAACGTGACCTAAAATATATCTAATTACAATAAATTTCAAATAAAAAATAACTACAGTTAACAATAAAAATTGCCAGCTTAACAAATTTATTTAGTTTCTAACGTTTTGAAATAAACGTCTCGAGTAATTTTGTTGTTGATGTGCTGCTCTGGCACTCCGAATAATTCCTATTTGTTTACAACACATTTGAAAGTTCAAAAAGTCAAATTGACCGTAATCACGCAACCAACATGTGAGATGTGCGCGCTCGCCCGGCCGATAAACGCATATTAAACTGATTACCGACCGGCGAGCCTTTCTTCGCATCGCTGTTTATATCCCGGCGTCAATTCAGGCGGACGCGCGCCGCCGTCAGATCGGCAGAAGAATGGCATCCATTGTTATTTTTCCGGAATGACCAGCGAAGCGTTTATGTGATTCATGCGCGCCGACCGCGCACAGTGTTGTCAAACGAGTGGCGCATGCTGTACATAAACGAATGTTTGCCTTCTTTTGATTTATACTAATTAATTTTTATTGCTGCGCCGACGAGTCGACGATTATGATTATTAGAATGGGCAGTGCTTTTACATTGTCTTAATGTCAACGATGAGATGAGTGCCAGCGAAGAATAAAGTGGGTGAAGTAGCTGAGAATTACACTGTGGGATGTAGAGGGAGATGGGCAGTCAGAGGAGATAGCAATGATCATTATGTGCGCTTGTGATTAATACTTAATCGTTTTGGTTCACTAGCTGCCAGCTATTTCAATCTAACATCTTTTAAGCATTCAGTCGATGCCGCCGACGCTGTTCTCATCTTTTGAGGTGTTTTTTGTTCGTAACTTGGTTAAAAGCGACTTATTTTAAGTAGGATTTAGTTGAGAGCCGGTAGGAAGAGATAATGTTATATTAAACCCTCTTATACCTAAGACCGGTAACACTAAATATGTGAAATTTGAATTTTATGGTTATCAGTTAAGTTTCTTATTGTATTGTAAAGATAAGTGCAAGATGACACGTGTAGAAGACTATATCGTTAATGGAAGGTCACAACAAACGCTAAAATAAAATTTATTGGAGAAAATATTTTGATTAAGTTGGAATATCACATTTAATAGGATTTCTCAAATAACTTTAGTAATTTTAGACGTTTGCGTGTTTTTCATGGACCACCAAAATTTATTTTTGATCGTTTGAAATATTTTTATTAAATTTTATTTTAATTTTGTTTCAGGTACGTTGGCAACTCATATCTCTTCTTGGATTATTCTATAAAACAATTTGTAAGTAAAAATAAATATTGTTTATCATGAAACCACACAGTGTATAATTATTGATAAAGACAAATTGCGAGTAATTAATAACAGAGACACTTCTTGTCATTCTAACAAACTGTCTCAATGGATTCATTGAAATTACTGAATCGATCAATATAACATTTTTAATAGCAACTGGAAAGTCTTATTCATGGACCACCCAATAATATTTATAATAATTGGTGACATAGTTCAATTTGTTCATATGTGACATAAAACTGGCACAAAAAAATTCATATGAAATTTTATCGTCGAATTTAAATGGGTAATGGGTAACCAGTGACAAAGTCGAGTATTTTTGTCGCCGAACGGAAAGTTGCCTGAAATATGCAAAGCGTGACGCAACGAGAACTCCATAATTGAGTGGGACCTCCTAATAAATATTCATAAAAATTAACACTCCAGTTGTCTAAACGCATAAAAGGTGACGTTAAGTAAACTACAGTATGTCACTGTAGTAAAACTGAATTTTATTTTATTTAACTGTGTTTATAAATAGCAATAAATTACAAGTTGTGTAATCACATATTTCGCGTATAATTCAAAACATCTCAATTGGAAGGGTTAACAATGTAATTTGTAAGTTTGCGTAGGCAATAAAACCATGATCAAAGGAGCTCAACCAACCACGTCAAGTGTAAACAATTTGATGTCTATCATAATTATTATTCAATCATATTTCGTAACAATAGCCTTCGCGTACGCGTGCTAACTCAATTTTACGTGCGTTTAAGATTCAATGTTTATAATTATAATACAATATAACGGTTGGGTGATTGCTTAAATGGTAAGTTCCTCAATTTAACACCGAATTAAATTCAAATTTAATACCGATTTGTTTCCAATTCGATTTCCGGTGGCGTTTAAACAAGATCCAAACGAAGAGAATGTATAAGTAGTTGCATTTCCTTGGTAGCACTTATTTAGATTACAGAGATAAATTTAAGTTAAGTTCTGAATTCACTAAAAACTCACTTGATATTTAGATTACACTCGAATCGGATTGGTTGCAGTCGAATTACTGGAATATTTATACAATTCCAATGCATTAACCTAGCTTACCACGTTGAGGCCACCCTAAATACTGAATCTCAAAACAAATTTAAGACTATTTATTAAATAGGGTCTCCCGCAGTCTCGTGATGACTTTCAGATGAATTTTTGTTGTTTTTTTTTCTTCTCATCTCTAACTTAAACGATGCACAATAAAATTTAAACTGCTTTGTATTCGAAACCTAAACACTCTGTGGTTGTATTATTCTTCGTTTAGTGACAAATTTAAATGGATTTGCCAGTCATGTTTCTTTTTGATCATTGTAATCGTTGTTTTGACGGTTGTGTGCGGTTGAGTCTCCTCTTAAAAAGTTTGATATTTATGATCACGGTTTTTGCGTACCCGTTGCATTTTGTCATGTGTCATAATGATTGTACAGTTATGAGGAATTAATGCCCGGCGACCCATGCCTTTGCCTTGAAGCGTTTTTTATTGTATTAAAAGCTCTCCGGGAAACCGGGATGCGATGCACTGCGTGCGTGTGCCGGCGCGCTGCGTGAGAACCGACGTGCGGCGTTTGAGGTATTTTATAACGCTTTGAAAACAAATATACGTTTAACACGTTCGCTCACATCTCGTTACATGCATCGCCAACGCTGCATAATGCGCAAGCATGTTTTACTAAAATTTACTAGCTTTTAGAATATATGGTTGCGTCAGTTGAACTTGGTCCGAGAAATAAAGCAGTTTTATTAGAAATTAATTGATTACTTGAAAACTAATCAGCGAATTGTTTTTAAAAGTATTGTGATGAGATTATATTAAATTCTGCTTCTTTGCATGTAAATAATTAATCGATAGCACGTTTTTTTAAAGAATTATAGACCAATTTATGTCAATTTAATTTTTTTAGCAAAATTTTTACAAAATGCTATTTTAATAGTATATAATTTATTCTGTGATAGTCCGACCAACAAAATAATCATGCAGTATATGTACAATTCAATGCAGAATCTATTTCTAAAGGAATCACACCCATAACGCAAATAGTTTTCGAGATATTCATCAAAAACTATAAATTTTACTGCAATACATGAATTTTATGAAGAAACGTAGAGTAATCTATTCCATATGAATAAAATCTATCTTGATTTATGAACCTGCTTAAATTGACCTTATTTATTCGAATAAATAAATCTTCCTAGACCTCTTCTAGTATAGTTATGTGTGATGGTCGTTATCGATTAATACCTACTCGGAATAAATTCCTCCTAGTCTCCCTCTAGAAACAATTTAATACTTAAACCCATCTAAAACCTAATCTAGGGCATGGGTGACAAAGGAGCTGTTTGTCTCTTCCCTGCTCATCTCCTCTTATCACAAAGCTATAACATGATCGCCACATACCTCCCTGAGTGTGCTTCTGAGTGCACTCCTTCCTCCTACATCCACGAAGACATCGCCATCAGCATTGATTTGTGAGTCATTGTACGCCCTTCGTCATACCATGCATTATTCATCGACCATTAGACATTCTGTAGTGTCATAGTTGCGGGTTTTCGAGTTCAAAGGTGTTGGACTTTTATTTCACGAGTAATCAGTGTTTTACATTGTCTATTGTGCCACTTACAAGAATAATAAACAAGATTCTTCTTCTTAGAAATAATGCTGATGATATAGTAACACCCAAATTGTCGGTTTCATTTTTCTGATAATAAACAACACCTTGTTGCCAGAAATTATAGAGTATGAACGCCATTACTGCCCTATACATTAATCTAAGTCGGAGATATCTGATGAGATTACCGTAACACATGTGGTTAATGCGTGAACAGATTTTTTAAACCCAACACAAAAGGGTGGGATACATTTGATCAACATGCATCGCCCCGCTCATCTGGTATTCCAGGGCACACGCAGCGTAAATCCAAGATTACTTGCCAAGAGTCGAGATTTCGTTCAGATTCTTCGAAAATGAGCATCAGTCATCTGATCCCGCACGTACCGGTTATTAATGAACGTCATATTTTACAAATATTCTTGCGCAACATTACATACTCGCAGTACTCGTGTAAATAATACCGTACTAAGTATATTTTTCGTTTTGGTAGCTTGTGTTAATTTATAGCGTGACTTCCACGTTGTTAACGAATGGCTAACGACGATTCTCGACATTAACTTCACGTTAAAAGTGCTTCGTGTAATTAAAATCGTGACAACAAAAGAGATGATAATTTCTCTTCCTACCTCTTACCTCTTCTTGGAATGATGCTTGAATATATCGAGGAGAGGAATATCTCTCCAGCATCGTTATAATCAATCATATAAGCAAGTTCTGTAACCTGATTGAAGTCGTGGCATTGACATTGAAAACCGAAACAATGTCGAAACGCTCCCCGAACACACCAAACACGCTGGAACAAGTTAGAGTTGCTGGATCATTATTTATAGTCGGCGGCGACATTGTGAACCGGAAACGTGATCTATTTTTACGTGGCTACGTTTTGGGCGCAACTGGAAAGTACTTGTGATGGTGGAAAATATCCCGACGTATACAAAACGATATCATTCATATGGCGTTCTGTAGTTACTAGTTCGGGAACAGCCTCGCTTGATTGGCAGTCAGCTCGAATTGATGCAGTAAGCTGGAAAACAGCCGTCAATAAACTTCAATTAGTTTTAATTGTCTAAGCGGGCGAGAGTTATCGAATTATGACTTTATTAGTTTCTACATGAGTAGCCTTGGGCTAGTTTACATATTTACTCACAAGGGTTCAATCAAAATCAGGCAAATTGCAAATTACAATGCATACATAAGAAGTGTTTGGAAATCTTTGCACGACGTTTGGTAAATTCGTGGAATAGCTCATTTTATTACTGTACGTACAATCGAATAATGCACTTAATGCGCATCAGGAGCGCACTTTGCATTTAGATTTAAACAAGCTGCAAACAGCATTGCGACACGTGTCACTAATGTTCTAAAAATCATAGAATCATGTGAAAACGCATTTACAACATTCCTCAAGGTATCTTTTAGACAAATATAGAATTTAAATAAGTTTCGGTAAGTTATAACAATTTGCTTAATTTTTATTCCTTTGCCTAGCGGTAAAGAAATACAAAGTAGAATGACTATACAAAATATGAGCATCAAAAGAGTGATTTCGATTATTTAGAATCGATGATACAGCATAAATTATTACAAAAGAGGCCGCTGTCAATAAAATATTTTTTATTTCATGCTAATTACATTTCAAAGTCGTGCCATGTCCAAACAATAACTATCCATCAAATTTTGATATTAAAATGTTAAATAGTTCATTACACTCCATTTATATACCTTGATGATATCATTAAAACGTGTAATTTGTAATTACACGGCGTTAAATGAGACTAACTTTAAAAATCAACCCCCTACAACGCAGGAAAAGGAAATAGCATGAAAACTTTCATTGCACTAAAAGCAAATACGACGTGTACCACCCTTGAATTAAGGTTATTGACTCGAAATGCTTCGAATTTATAACAAACTTGTGAGTTGGCGTCCGGGTGTTGCGGGCGCCCTTTCGTTTTAACTAACTAAAACACACCCTCGACACCCGTCGCTCGCCTGCTGCCTGCTAGTTCTCTATCTATGCACTAGTGAGCGGCTCGCCCAAAAGCACGCCGATGTATAGAAGGACCACAAGGCGCGCAAACAATTCGGTATAATTGTCCAGCCGGAACGGCGGTGTAGGCAGCTGATTGCTACTGACCGACCAGTGACCATAGTGCGACTGTTAATTTGGCACATCAGCTTACCATAAACATATGTCACCTTCTGCATGTAGCTACGGTAGTTAGGTAGATGAATCTACTAACAATTACCTGCAAATTTAGAGGTGCTAGAAGGTATTGGAAAGCGTGCTGCAGCTTGCCCGGAATGCAACTGACAAAAGGTAGTAGTTACTTGAAATGTGATCGGAAACGT